GTGGTCACCTGCAGCAGTGTCGGCACCCTCCTTCTATTTTGAGTGGAAAGAACGAACCTAAACCACCCCCAAAATAAGCAATTTCACTTAGTTACCCAGTGCCAATTTCGTTCTAATATCAGGCCCCTGCTATTGATTTAAATCTTGTACTGGCAGGAAATTTCACCTGACCCAAAGGAGACTGGGTCTTACATGTGTACTTCTGAGACTCCCAGCTTCTTGTAAAAATAACTCCCCAGACACCCCAACCCACACCTTTTGTATCTGATCTAAAGAACTTCCTGAAGTTTCAAGACATGATTTCCTGAAGGTCTTCCTTTGCAGGAAGTTCCTTTTGAATAGTGTCTTGTCTTGTCTAAGGGAAATTGGACATTGATGCAATATCTGTTACAAGGAAGCTCACTGTCCAACAGTGTTGCCAAACTATTTTACACTGATGTGAATTTCTGAGCCAGATGCAGAACAACACATTACAACAGCCCGCAGCCTTTATGCCAGGATGAATCCCGACAATGATATATGTTTTGACAAACTGATGACTAATATTCAAGATGTCATCTGTCTGCGTCTGATCAGTAAGATTAGGTCCTATCAAGGTCCTATCATATGCTGTAATACATGTATATGAATTAAAATGAGATAAGACTTTCCTAATCCGTTCGTTACCTACTCAGAGGCGCCTGGCTTATGTGCAGGGCCTTTTGATTAGCTAATATATCTCTTCAGATTTTGTACCGTGTCCTCTTCAAAGGTTGCATTCATAATATATGAACTTTTTTATTCATTGCAATTTACCTGAAAAAGACTACTGCTGAGGTTGCTGATTTTTGTGTCATCTTATCAATCCTAAAATAAACCTTGTGAATGGAAATATAATTTGATACACTCGTACACGATGGAATGAAAGGAAATCTATGCATTTTTATAGCGAAATACATGTTTGTAAAATAATATCAAATTTCCTTAAGACTCTAAAGTATAGGATGTAGCTATGGCATTTCAAGTTTTCAAAGAATTTTCAGAAGTTCTGAGTGTAATGCTTGTGTTGTTTTCACCATACAGTAGCCTCCACATCCCCTTCTGCTTTCCTTATCATGTCATCAGGCAAACATGCTTTGAAGTAAGGTCACATCACCTGAGTCAAGTGTTCTGTACCAAATGCCAAAAACACGCCTCTTAAAACAATCACATGGTACTGTGTAAGTCATCTTTGAACCACATAAAGACACAAGCAGTTGACAAACGATCGGTAATGGGATTCTGATATGGCAGCAGAATCACAAGTGGAAAATCCATCTGTTCTGCCAGAGTGTATTGTCCCCACCTAGCATCTGCTGGGTATTGATCCGCCATAAAACTGTCAGACTCGAAAATTAGGACGTCAGAAACCAATACTGCACTTCTAGAGCGTATCAGTGGTTCCCGTAGTCAATATACTTAGATCCAAATTAAAAGATGTCTCAAGACGGATTATCTTGGGTTCATTCTACATTAATAACATGTTATAGGATCTACCTGAATATTCCTTCCCTGTGATTAGAGCCGACATTATAATTTACTACTAGACCCCATTTACATGCAGACTGGGACCAGTAAAGAGGGGTCTGGTTGGGTTTTCTCAAAAAAATAACAGCTTATTGAAAGAATTAAGTCCAATCTGGACCATAACAACTTTTTATTCATAATCACTCACTATCCTGTTTAGCGTCAAAAAAGGTGGGTCCAAAACAGATAAATGTTTAAGGGTTTTTACTTAAAATCAGATCATTGTAAGGTATTGAGTGGTCATTTGCTAAGAATCTATTTTTGGTAGATGCAGGAAAACCAGGTTCACACCACCACCTGTGCTGTCCCAGAAACTTGTTCCCAAGAGCCCAGACCAATCTAAATTGAGGTCATAAGGTCACATAAATAGATCTAGAATGGATTTAGAATGATTCATTGAACGGAAGATTATTTTCCAGTCTCAAGAAAGTGTGTGGTGAAGAAGGGTGAGATAGTAAGTTAGACAGGTGTTGTTTTCTTGGGTTTTGATATTTCCTGACAGGAAAGTCCTGTTGGTTATAGTTAACCGCAATCGAGACATTGTTTGTTTAGGTTGAAGTTATTGTCAGACACTTGGGTTAGCTCATGTCAAGTACAAAGGGCTTAATGGCATGGAAGTAAGGCTGGCTTCAAGTCAAAGGACAAATACTACCGGTAGCATATAATTACCAAGTTTAAAGTCTACATGTATGTCAGAATGATATTTTTTGTGCAAAACCACCAGGCTTTCTTTTGAATTGGGCTTGTCATAAACTCTTATATTTTTTGTACAATCATGTACTATAGTATTCCACCTGTACTCCATGTTGTATTCCAAAAGGCATATCTAAAAATCATGAATTAGTGCCGAAATAGATTGACCTGTCTGTTGGTATGAATTATCAATGAAGGTAGTTGTGTACTAATTATCTTGTTTTTAAAATTTCAATGG